AGTTCCCCATATTATTCGTGAAACTTTTCTGCAAGTGTGGAAGTATTTGAAAAGAAAAATTATAAAATTATATAGTTAAAAGCCAAATACACTCAGACATTTCAGACGTAGCAGTTACAGCTAAATCCTAAGTACTGTAAGCTCTTTCTTATCACCGAAGGTCTGCCAGTTCTCACTAACTCAGGGGCCATCTGGGGCCACAGGGACAGAGTCCTGGTGAAGTGGCATATTGGCGTGCAGGGCCCAGACCCCCAGAAGAGATTTTCCCCAGGACTCGTACCATTTAAATCCCAAGGTCACGCAAAAGTTTATTGCAGCCCTTTGGGAGCGTGAGCTTTTCCTCTACCCCACCAGCGCAGGCCGGGGTATAACAGAAACGAGTTTCCCAGGAGGCTGGGAGATACAGTGGGTGCATAGTGAGCTGCCCTTGCAGTGGCTGGTTGGGACTAAACCCACTGCTTGTGCGGCCTGCCTCTGGGGTCGACCAGGAATCCAAACACTGCAGCCAGAGCTGGGGCAGATCCCAATGCCACAGATCTCTTTTGGAGAAGTCTTATTTCTTGGTTATTCCTGTTTGACATTTCCCTATGGAGTCCAAGAGTCATTCGTGGACCTCAAAGAAACCAACCTCAAACCAACCGCCAATGAGCATGCCAGGAGAGTGAGGGAGAGCCTCCCCTTAGCCTTGGCTGCTCTCAGGCGTCCTGTGGTTGAACATGCGAGTGGAATCCTTCCAGAAATCACTCTGTGGCCTGACTCAGAGGTGGGAAAAAACAAACAAAATCATAACCATCTTAGGCCCCAATAACTGGGGTTCTTAGAAGTTCAGAGCAGAAAGGGGGCCGTGGAGGACGCACCAAAGTTGCAGGTTGGGTGAGGGCAGGTTTGGCCGGTCTTGGGCCTCCGTGCCTGGGGCTGGGCTCCGAGTTTGATACATCCTGATAAGAGGGGCCTCAGTGCTTGGGAACTGGTTTGAACTGAAGGAAAGCAGAGAAAAGCCATGGCTTTGGCAAGATACCGATGGCTCGCGCCCACTCTTGGATGGGACTGTTGTGTGTTTTATCTTTCCTGCTAGCTCTCACTTGAGCCCCATGAAACCGATGCCGAGGGATGTTCTCGATCTCCCTGTGTAGATTCTCAGGCATGCCTGGAGACCGACCAAAGCACTCCTTGAAGGCAGACCAGGGGAAGGCAGCGGGTGAGCACCTTGGTCTCCCCAGTGCTGTTTGCATCCCATCATTTCACATTCTGTTTGGGGTTCCCCACACACCACCCCCAGCCATCAGGGGACTGGGCATCAGCACCAGTCGTGATTCTTAACCCAAATCTGAAGATCATTAACACTGGCTGGCGGTAGGAGGTGGAGCAGTGGGTAAAGTGTGCTTTAAAACCGAGCATCTGGGGCGCCTGGGTGGCTCAGTTGGTTAAGCGACTGCCTTCGGCTCAGGTCATGATCCTGGAGTCCCAGGATCGAGTCCCACATCCGGCTCCCTGCTCGGCAGAGAGTCTGCTTCTCCCTCTGACCCTCCCCGCTCTCATGTGCTTGCTCTCTCTCATTCTCTCTCTCTCAAATAAATAAATGAAAAAATCTTTAAAAAAAAATAATAAATAAATAAAACCGAGCATCTAATCTTTTGGATCATCTGGCCTACCTGCTGCTCTCATTTCTGGCTTTCCCGTTTATCCTGTGGGTTGGTCTTGTCTCTTTGATGACACCTTTTCTGTGTGTCTTCCCCAACTGTTGGTCCAGTGCAGAGTGCACAGCGGGATCCCAGCATAGCTGCTGACCCATAACGAGCTGGGAAGGAGAGCTGAGAGCCCATATCCCGGCTTCTCCTTCCAGCTCTGCCACGAGGGCAGCCGTGGGCTGATGGAGCTCACCGTCCTTGTCTAGGCCCCACTTCGTACCTGTCCGAAGCAGGGGTGCTTACTAGTCCTGCCTCTTTTTGCCGAGATTCAAAGATATCAGATCAGGGCCATAGGCACCTTGTACCTTTAAGTCAGGAGGTGAATGGAGGCTCCACTGGTCGCTTGTCTGGCTGGTCCTGGCTGATTTCATGCTTTCAGGCTCTGAAGGAGTGAGCCCTGCCCTTGCAGAGGTGGGCAGGAGAGGACCCTTCCACCGCCTGTCTCCCTGGCCCCGCATCTCTTCCCTGGCCTGCCCTGGGCTCCTGCATGCTGACCTGCCTCACCTGCTGCAGGTGTGTTGGACAATGGGAGGCCCTGGCAGGGGAGGGAGGGGAAGGGGTGAGAGGTCGTGTGTTGGCTCCTCCGGCTTCCTGCCTATGACCGTGGCTTCTGCCCTCCGGCCCTCTCCGGACTCAGACAACACCCCCTTCTCTCTCCCTGGGCCTTCAGGCCCGGCCTGGGACCGGCCTCCTGCTGCTGCAGGCCCCCAGCACTTCACTCTCCCCGTGGGTCCCCCACCCCAGACCTTTGTCAAAGCAATAGCCCCTTCGTTAAGAGCCTGGCTCAAGCCTGATTCCTGCCGGGACCCCCTGGGTGCAGAGCTGGTTGTTGCCAGCGCCCCCTTCACGGGGCTGGGGGATACCAACCCGCCAGCTTGGCACCACGACCGCCCCCACCCCTCATTTTCCTACAGAAGTTGGTTCTAGCACAGTCTTCCTCATGGAAGCTCTGGAACAGCCCGTACACCGAGCCAGAGCTTCCTGCTGGCTGGGGAGTGTGGGCGTCCAGCTTCCAAATGGCTCTCGTGCTCGTGACTCGCCGCATTCCCGGGGGGCCGGGGCCAGGCTGAGCGCAACGCCCTGGCGTCCCAGCCGGGGTCCTCCTCCCTGCATCCTGTACGGTGTTCATGCTCTTGCCTCATGACCAGCCTCAGCCCAGCTCCTCTGGGCGGTTGTGGGCTGGGTGCTTGGTTCCCGAAGCTCCGGGCTGACCTCGCCTTGCAGGGAGGCCAGGCTTCGGAAGCTCTGCCATCCTGGGAGTGCCCTCGTCGCCTCCACCTGGGGCCCTCCTCGGCCTGGGGCCCCCCTTCTCTTGCCTTTCCCTCCAGACCACCACCTACTCCGCCTCCCCCCTTCCCCACGGGCTGTAGACCTCCAACTTGGAAGAACTCACTCCCCATCCATTGGTGATACTTAGGGACCCGTCTCCACCACGATGGTCACTTTGGAAGAGGCACCATCTGGCCACTGCTGGCACCCCTCTTTCGCTTCCCGAGATAGCCAGAAGGCACCACAAGCCAGTCACCACCTCTGTCCAATGTACTTTCCGCTCCCTAAGACCCAGTGTTTTGCTTTTCGCCCCCCGCCCCATTCCTTTCCGCTCCCCACTGTTTGGAGCCTGGGACCTGGGAAAGAATGAAGTCCTTATTGCGTGGTTTGATTTTTCTTCCTCCTGGCACAGAAAGAACTCCCAGTGTTTGAGCTGCTAAGGCCCCCAGTGATTCCTCGTTATGAGAAGAGTCATCAAAACACACCCGTTATGCATTAAGTCTTCACAAAAGACACCAAAGATTAGCGCACCATCTACTTGCAAGGAGCCCCTTTGCTAGCCATACCAATTACGTTTTTAAGAAGCAGAGGGGTTCGAGTTGGGTTCTTCTGAATCTGGTTTTCTCCCCCTCCTTGTGATTTGTATGCAGACTTCCGAGAGGCAGGTTTTATAATACAGATTCAGCCAGGCTAAATCACAGCGGCAGAACCTTATGCAATGGCTAAAAACCTATGAGTTAAACATGGAATAGTCTTGCAGAGTGGAGAAGGTAATAACATCAGGGATGTGAAAATAGAAAGTAAAAAATTAGTATTTCAGGAATGCAGGTCTCTTACCCACATTTTTCTGCACCTGGAGAGCTTGGTGTCATTTTCCAGAAAAAATCCAAAGTGCGAGCTCTCACTAGAAAAATAAAACTTTTGTTTTCACAAGTTCAACCCTCCGTCCCCAGTGAATCCAGGGTCGAGAGCCCTTTTTACTGACTTCTGGCCATCATGCCACAAAACACGTTTTGTGTTTGTTAGAATCTGTATGTTCACTAATGCTTGTAAAGGAACAGATTTTAGATTTTTATAAGTGGGTTTTGTTAATTTGCTATTTTAAAAATACTTGTGAGACCTTTACAGTTGCCATGGTGATATAATTTCCATAAACATGATTTTTTTGTGGGGATTTTTTGCACATTGAAGGCTGAGGCTGATAGCAGTGTTGGGGGGGGAGTAGGTGGTGAATTTGGCAGCCACCCCATTGCTTCCTCCCTCAAATGCTGCAGATCTGGTTCCAGGGATCCACGTCATGGCAGAGACCTAGACCCCTAATCACCACATCTGACACCCTAGGCTTCTGGGGAGTGAGCCTGGTCAGGGGAGAAGGGGGCCAGCCCCCAGGTGGGGGATCACGGGTACCTGCGTGGCCCATCAGTGGTCCAGCCCACGTCAGAGTGACCTGCACTCTCTCGCCAAACCTTGGCTTCACAAAGCCTTGGAGGACCCGACCTTGGAGCTGCCCGAAGGGCGGTGGAGAGCCTGGAGACTCTTTCCCTTTGAACCAGATTCATCAAAAAAAAAAAAAAATTCTATTTTAATTCACAATACTGCTAAAATGCTGAACGTTTGCAATGGAAAATAAAAATGTAACAAATATTAGCTGTTAAACAAGACAAGAAGGCATTGAATAAGAAGGCATTTTATAGTCCTCTAGAATGCCAGTAGTTGAGAAAAAGCAGATTTGATTAGAAGAAGAGTTAGATGGTCCCAGTGGCACCACGCTTATCAGTGATGCTAGACATTTGCTTTGGCTCATGGAGAGACTTCACTGTTAAGCTTTATTTCCCGGAGAATGGAACATACAGAGAGATCAAGGGAGAAGCAGAACAAATAAGAGAGAGATTTCTAATAACAAAGAACGTCTGGGGAGAGAAACGGCCAGAAAAAGGAGTTTCAGGAGACAGTGTCAGCCTGAGATGGCAGAGCAGTGTCGGGCCAGACGCTCCACGCCAGGTGCTGCCTAGCTCAGCCGAGGGGTTTGATTCATACGGAATCATGAATCATAAGCAAGTACGAATTACTAGAAAGGCTTTGTGTTGACTGTTTTTATTTAGGTAGTACCAGAAATTCGAACATGGCCACCCAGAGGAGAACGTCCCAGACTCCCCGAGTGGCGGAGTTACCCATCTCCATCTCTGGAGAGCCGACCCGCGGTGTCCAGGAGAGGTTGCGCATGTCAGCGGCACGCCGATGGATGCCTGGAATGTGCACTGAACAAGGGCGTGTTCGGAAGTGTGCTAGACGGGCACGGAGCACTCCGCGAAGTGGAAAAGGCCCACGGACCGGCCTGTCTACAGAAGTCTGTGGCCACACAGCTGCTGTCGACTTGGGGTTTGTTGAGTGTGTCTCTTGAAGAGGAGGAAGACGATCCCGGAGTGTGGGCTGACATTCTGTGCCTCTGGAGTCGTGGGGCTGGGGGCAGGGCTCGCTGCGGGGTTGTGCCTGGCTGGCAAGGCGGGGGGGTGGGGGTGGTGACGTGCTCTGAGGGCTCTGCAGGCATTTTTGTTTGCCCTGAAATTGCCCAGAGGAATTTGGCATGGCACACGGCCGGAAAGTGGCTCACTGTCCCAGCCGGAGTGGGGCTCAGCACCCGCGCTGCACCAGCCTCTTCTTGTAACACACATTTAAGGTAAAGGTTTTTGTTTTTGTTTTTTTTTTTAAATAATGCCTCAGTGGCAGGTAGCTTGGCTCTCGGCTGGGGCTGGTGGGCGATGAGCGGGAGAGGGAAGCAGCATCCCGGGACTGATGCAGCAGGGTGGGGGAGCACCTCCCTCCTCATTGAGTCAGCGTGTGGCCCTCGGGGCATGGCCTTCCAAGATGCTCTGTGGTGTTCCGGGTGCAGGCAGGTCAGGACCGGTCCCCGCTCCCCTCGTCAGGAGTGGGAAGATTTCATCCTTTGGGAGGAAACAGTAAGCAGAAGTACCACCACCTGCCGCGTTGCCCAGAGGAGGGGACATAGGAGGGTCAGGTGCTCGAGCACAAAGGTCATTTGATGATGGGGAGCCAAGGATTCAGAATTTTTGTGGTGAGTGCTTCCCTGAATCCTGGTGACCCCTTGCCGGGTAGAACTAATTTATTTTGCTGGGGGAATCCCTCCTGGATCTCACTCTACCAGGGGAGAGCTGTGTGACCTTGGGCAAGTTATTTAAGCCCTCTGTGCCTCAGTTTCTTCATCCGCAAAACGGGGGCAATCACAGGACCCACCACACAGGCCTCTTGAAGATTAAATGGGTTGTTCCACAGAAACTGCTTGGAATAGTGCCCGGAGCACAGTGAGGATTCCATGTCTTTTCCAGGCTCCAAAGGCACTGATTTTTCTCCCCTCTCCCCCGTGGTGCAGCCTCCAGTACCCACATTCTACTCTCTGTCGCTGTGAGCTGGGCTTTTTTGGTTCCACACGTGAGATCACACAGCGTGTGTCTTTCTGTGTCAGGCTTACCTCATGGAGCCTCAAACCCTCAAGCTTCATTCACGTCGCAAATGGCAGATTTCATTCTGATTTTGAGGCGGGATAATATTCTGCTGTGTATATATTACGTTTTCTTTGTTCGTCCATCCACGGACATTTAGCTTGGCTAGAAGGCTGCATGGAACATGGGGGCAGCTGTCTCTGTGAGATAGTGATTTCATTCTCTGTGGATAAATACCCAGAAGTGGAATTGCTCGATCATTCAGTGCTTCTATTTCTTGAGGACCCTGAACGCTGTTTCCCAGAGCAGCTGCACCAGCTCGCATCCCCACTGACAGTGCACGAGGGTCCCCTTCCTGCATGTCCTCGCCGGCACCTGTCAGCACCTGTCATGTCTGGTCTTTTCGATGATGGCCATTCTGAAGGTCTGAGGGGAGAGCCCATTGAGGCTTTGATTTGCGTTTTCCTGGTGATTTGTGATATCTACGTGTACCTGTTGGCCACTCGTGTGTCTTCTCTGGGGAAATGTCCATTGAGGTCCTCTGCCCATGTTTTATTTTTTTCTGGTTAAACACTATTCTCGTCTGGAAACATGTGTTGGGGTGGGGAAGCCTGGGGTCCTCCAGGGACAGAAGCTGTGGTCAGGTTTGGTCTAAAGCATGTTTAACTTGGAACCGCTCTGCAGGGAATGGTGAGCCCAATGGTTCCTAGAAATGCCGAAAGGACAGGACAGCCAAGGACAGGGCTGTGGCTCGCTGATCCCTTGAGCTGTGTCCACCGGTCAGGGCCCTTCTTTTTTTTTTTTTAAAGATTGTATTTATTTATTTGAGAGAGAGAATGAGATAGAGAGCATGAGAGGGGGAGGGTCAGAGAGAGAGGCAGACTCCCTGCTGAGCAGGGAACCCGACGTGGGACTCGATCCAGGGACTCCAGGATCATGACCCGAGCCGAAGGCAGTCGCTTAACCAACTGAGCCACCCAGGCGCCCTGGTCAGGGCCCTTCTTGCCCCCTCCGCCTGAGAGGGGCCTTCTGGGGGCCCCCCTTCCCAAGCACCCTCCCTGCTCGGAGTCTGCAGGCCGTTGTGGCCAGGACGGTGCCCCCCTTTCTGCCCATGGCCGTCGCCCTGAGCTCTGACAGTGGATTCTCTGGGTAATTAGAGCAGTTCATCGGGTTTGCCTCGAGGCTCCAAATGAGACCTTTGGAGAACAGCGGCTAGTTTAACCTAAGTGGTCCAAGAACAGGCAGAATGGAGCTGAGTGCAGAGGAATGTGCTTTTATGGAGCTGTGTGTTTAAAGATACATCTCGGATTTGTTTCTTAGCAACGGGGCTCATCCGGAGCACAAGCACGCCGACAGCGTCAGAACACCCAGCGGTGCCCACAAGCACTGTAGAAAATACAATAAAAATCTGGAGAGTAGGAGAGAAGATTTAAGCGGAGTGCCTCCAGCAGGAGAACAAAGCTCAGAACCCTGAGCCGATGTTGCAGACAACAGGTGTAGCCCAGAGACGGGGTGTAGACCGGAGTGGCCTCAGGGGCGGGTTGGGGAGGTTCCTAACCCACCTGCTGAGCCACGTGCCTCCGCAGGGCTCCCTTCCTCTGACCAGCATCTCGCGGTCATGCCTCCCTCCTTCCCTGGCACCCAGAGCCTCCAAATGTCCTTCTAGAGTCTGAACTGGAAGAGTGGCTGGTTGGAGCCCCGGAGGAGATATCGGAAAGACCCAAATCCAAGGACGCCTGGGTGGCTCAGTCGGTGAAACGTTCAACTCTTGATTGCGGCTCAGGTCATGATCTCAGGGTTGTGGGATCGAGCCCCATATTGGGCTGCATGCTCAGCTCAGAGTCTGCTTGTCCCGCTCCCTCTGCTCCTCCCCAGCTCACTCGCTCTCTCTCTCTCTCAAATAAATACATAAATAAAATCTTAAAAAAAAAAAGACCCAAATCCAGAGGTTCCGACCCTTAAAAATGCATTTAAATGCCTACAGAGAAGCCAAATACAAAGAAAACCAAAGATACTGGAAAATAATTTTCAAAATTACCAATAATTATTAAAAAACCCCACCAAATTTGTATACTGAAACACCGTGTTTCTGTATTTAATACATTAAATGGGAAGATCCAGCCATGGGTCAAATATGTGCTGTAACTTTGAAATAGTGATTCGTGTTGATGGTATATTGAGAAATCTTCCCAGCTGCACTGTGGTACAGAAATATCCGTGATTTCTGTTGATGAGGAAGACCAGGCTCTAGTAACGTTATCGTGGCTATTGCCTGCATCCTTAAGGAAAGGAAATGCGAACACTGAGTTGGAGGTTAGTATAAATACAGAAATAATGCTCTTCAGTCACAGCTGATCCCAGGGTGCGGGGTGTGCGGACCCCGGGTTTACCCCAAGAAGCTCTTCCCTCGTGCATCCTCCTGGTCCCCACTTCTGTGTCCCTGAGGCCTGCGTTGTTAGGGGGCGCCTGGGTGGCTCAGTGGGGGGAGCGCCCAACTCTTGTTCTCAGATTTTGACCGCGAGTTCAAGCCCCACTTTGGGCATGGAGCCTACTTAAAACAAACAAAAAAACCAAAAAAACCCCAAACCCTGTGTTGTCAGAGTTGCTATGCGGGCAGGACAGACAGATAGGCAGGACAGAGAGGCAGTGAGATGCTCCAGGGCATGGCGGTGCTGGGGCTGCTGGGAGGACCCAGCAGCCCGCTCCCCAGAGAAGCCCCTGAGGTCACCTTCCTCCACAGAGAGACATTCACCGCACGGGTGTCCAGGGTCAAGGTCACCGAAATGGCATTTGATCTCGGAAACACGAATTTCTCGGGAAACATGAGTAGGGGCTTTTTTCCATCTGTTTTTCTAATAATGTCCGCTATGTTCACTTAATAGTGTACAGCAGGGATTTTAAGAAGTGCTTCGGATGCAGCGGGCTCTCAGCACGGTCCAGCCCCTTGTGCTGTCCTCTCAAAGCTGGGCTTCAGTGGAAGCCAGGAGACCCGAGGTGGGGAGGTTACCTGTCCAGTGCGGCCGGGGGAGATGGGGAGACGGAAGGCAGTGCGGGTCAGGGGCAGTGGCGAGAGGCCCCCTCGGAGGCTGTGCACATGGTGTAGGGGTGCGGGGGTTGCCTCTGGAGGGCAGGCCTGCAGGCGGGGCATGGGGGGCCGGGACAAGCACGCTGGCGTTCCCACAGTCCCTGGGTCTGCTGCAGGGCAGGGTTCCTGCGAACCACGCGCTCTGGCTGCCAGGCCCCGGGGCACGGCCACCTGCAGGCTGCTGGGACAGCCTCTGAGCCAACGCTTTAGTGTCCCCCAGGTGCTTCCGCCCCTTGCTGAGTGGGAAAGTCGTGGGCCCCACGGTGTGGCTTCTGCCAGACTGGCATTCTTCTGTTTTGCAGGACCAGGGTCACAAAACCTTAGAGCTGGAAGTGTTCTTGGGGAACATGCCATCTAGGTGTCTTATTTTGCAGACGTGGACCCCAAGGCTCGGAGGCAAAAGGGACTGTCCCACGTCACAGGGCAGTGTCAGAGCCTGGGCGAGAGCACGCAGTGGGAGGTGACCACACCTTCCCTGCCCCGCCCCCCCAGGGAGGCGGGCTGGAGGTCGTGCCGTGTCCAGGTCTGTGGCGGGTGATGCCGTTTGCCTTGTGCACAACTCGCTGAGTCAGTTCGACAACCACAACTGTTATCTGGGCAGGACTGATACTGGTGGTCTAGAGGCCCGTGCGGGTTAGTTAGTGCGTGCCACCGCTTTCCCATAGTGGGACACCAGCCCGCCATCACTGGCTCCGCCCTGTCTCCCCTTGGGCAGGTCGGTTAAGCTCTTTGTGCCTCAGAACCTGATGTTAACAGTATCCGCTTCACAGGCTTGTCGTCACACGAGGGTTAATACACATAGAGCTCTGGGAACAGATGGTGGTGGGCGATCATCT